TGCTGAGAGGACTTGGGGGTACTGGTGGATGAAAAACTGGACGCGAGTCGACAATGTGCAGTCGCAGCCCAGAAGGCCAACCGTATCCCGGGCTGCATCAAAAGAAGCGTGGCCAGCAGGTCAAGGAAGGTGATTCTGCCCCTCTATTCTGCTCTGGTGAGACCCCACCTGGAGTACTGCGTCCAGCTTTGGAGCCCTCAGCACAAGACAGACATGGAGCTGTTGGAGCAGGTCCAAAGGAGGGCGACAAAAGTGATCAGAGTGATGGAACACGTCTCCTATGAAGACAGGCTGAGAGAGCTGGGGTTATTCAGCGTGGAGAGGAGGTGGCTCAGGAAAGACCTTATTGCAGAGTTTCAGTACTTAAAGGGGGCTTATAAGAAAGCAAAGCTGATGATGTGAATTTTGGTGTGGAATCTGTCCCCAGTATTTCATGAAGCCTCAGAAGGGCTCAAAACACCTCACATCACAAACCCTCTGAATAGTCCTTACAGATCACGGGCCCTTTTGCAATCTAATAAGCAAACCCAGCTAACAACTAGATGTTATCTCCCCTCTTTGCTCCACTTCCAGGAAGTGACCACAAAACAAAACACCCTAACATGTTGCTGACAGGAGGGAAAATGTAGCCAAGGGGATGAAAAATAAACATTAAAAAAAAAAAATTCCTGGAAAACAGCACGCAAATTGCAATTCAGTTTCACACCTCTAGAAGCATGTGCTTTATCCTGTGGGGTAGTGACACCTTGTGGCCCCTATCTTACATAGGCTCTAAAGGACATGTCCCATCCACAAATAAAATAGTGTTTAGTGTTCCTGAATGCTAGTATCTTTTTTATTTTTAAGGGGTAGAGGGAAGTACATAAATTAATAACTTTGCTATCCCCTTTATGAAGGTTTCTCCCACGCTCCCTACTTACAAAAATTACAAAGTCACTACATCTAATGGAAAAGTGTCAGTAATGGAACAAATTTATATCTGATAAACTCATAAAAGTCATTTTTACTTCACTTCACTGAGGTTGAAAGAGTTCTGACTTGTGCTGCTATCAGACCAGAAATCTGTCTCAGCTATACAGTTTTCAAAATTAAAGGGCATGCACCATTCCATTATCTGGCTGGTATAATTTTATGCTCTATTTGAAATTAAAAGTACAAAAGCAAAGGGATACTGGGACAGAACATCAGCCCAGACCCATGAGCATCCTGTGATAAAAATAACTTTGCTATCTTAATAAAGATAAGTATTTAACAATTCAAAAAATTAAGAATGCCTGTGCAACCCTCAGTCACTTTCGAGCACAGGAATTTTCATCAGTTTCCAGCTATATACGAGCCCATACTGTTTCCTCACGTGGATCCCATCCTCACTCAGTACTAACAAAACTGTTGTTTTATTCCCTCTTCACCTCCTGCTCCTGTAGCACATAAATGCCTTAAAACAAGCACTGACAGCCCTTACTTCTCAGGTGTCCTGCATGACTATTTTCACTCGTACCTTACAAAAGGTTAAGCAAATTTTGTCCATATATATTCACTAATTTGGAGCCTTATTTTGAGCCAAATAAACTCCGTTTCATCTCATCCCTCAACCTGGACACTAAGATCATTACTCTTGGTTCCCTAAAACTAATGAAGAGAGACACACTGCCTCCAGAGAGCAGTATGTCCCACGTAGTAGCTGTCATTGCTCACACAGGAAACATACAATTTGTTTGTTTGTTTTCTCCTCACAAAACATTTTTAAGACGCTGGTGTTCGTTTTTCTTCTGAAGAATCAGCCCATAAATTACATCAATATGCAGTTATACCTAACATACCTTTAAATTCTGATGTGAGGATGCTTTAGCAAACAACACTTGTCTATGTACGTACAGATATAAGTGTGTACACATGTTTAATTCATTGCTTCCTTTCCAAATTTTAATCACCCCTAACCTATGAGCCCTCAATGCCCTTTAGAAATGGCACGCACACTGTACTGCTAGATGATCCCATTCTCAGAGCCAGCTGTACTGCTATTAGTGAGGTGCATGCCTAATTTTACGTTTACATGTCTACTCCTTTGGTATCAGTGATAGAATTAAGAAGCAACCGATGTCCCAGCACCATATTACATCACAGCTGAAATGTAATAAACTTAGGATATAAGCACATTTCACTATTACCACAAAGTGTTCAGCCACAGGTGCTGGGAGAAAATAAGTGCTCAGACTTCACTATGCGAACTGGCCTGGCAGTTTAAGACATCCCCACTTGCCCAGCTGTTTCAGTAGTGCTCCTCTGCCAGGTATTAACATTTGCACAGCACAAAATCAGCCAAGAAAATACAAGCCTAAGCCTCAGACATTCCAGAACAGGACACCTCAGCGCACACTTTCACCGACAGTTAAACCTACAAAGCTGCACTCCGGAGTAGCTGGGGCATGAGTACATCCTATCCCCATCAAGATGCCCGGTGCTAGCCCGTCAAAATCCAAAAAATGAAGGACAAAGAAGTTTCACTGGGGACAGGTTATGCCACTAAGCACTGACCTGGGAGTCAGAAAACATGGGTACTATGCCCGGCTCCACCATTGACCCCCACACAAACTTGAGCAGGGCACTTGACTGTCTGCGTCCCCCTCCTTTCTCAAGCTTTGTCTGGATACACGTCAAACAACCTTGGAAGGAACTGTCCCCTACTAGGTTTGTATAAGGCACAACAAGACTCCTCTAGGTGACTGCAGTTAAAATGAGAGTCAGATCTGTTCCAGAATACTGATCTGCTATTCTACATCAGCAGTTCATAAACTTTTCACTATGAGAGATACAGTGCTAAAGATCATTTAAATGATACAACCCTAGATTACAAATGGGTTTAGTCTAGCTTTTGTACCAGCCGTTTTCTTCTCCTAATACTCTGTGTCATCTTTGGAATCATTCCACAAAATCTGTGGTTCTTTTTTTTCATGCACAATCAGATCCGCTTAGAAACTGATGCTCTCAGCAACACATTAACCAAATTCTAAACAAACCATTCACTGTATTTACAGCTACTCACTACAGCTATTCTGCATCATCAAGGAAGACAAAAAGATTACAATATTTACTGCAATGAATCATCATCCCTCTTCCAATCAAAATCACATTTATATACAAAACTTGTGATCCGATTCCCTCTCTGCTTCCAGCTGACTACACTACTTCAAGTCAATGACTGACAGCATTCATTAACTCTTAAGACCTTACTATATCGGCATCTGAGATTCTCAGACTATAGAAAAAAAAAAAAAAAAAAAGAGTCCTGAATATACCCTGCAAAAGCACAGCATCAAATTCAAGTAATTCTCATGGTAAGTACCCACAATCAGATTAGGAGGGTATTCTGGATAATACATTGCGTTATAAGCCCTGACTTTTAAAATCCAATTGCTGCTGTTCCAAACAAATAACTAACCTCGTTATTCCAGCTCTGGTAGGACAACTCAGCCAGGAAAGAGCTGCAATGCTAAAACTGAAGTGCAACCTTAAGATCCAGAGGAAAAAAAAAAATCAGTTTTAATTTTTAATGCATGCCCTTAAACCACTGAGGCTTATAATGCAGTTTATTGCCTGCTGACAAAGAATTCTCCAGAAGGCTACATTTTATGGTATATGGGATAGTTAAAGAGCGAGAAGGTGAGTCAGGTTAGAACCTCAGTGTTTGTATTGCAAACTGTTGTTTCTCATCTTTTAGTTCTTATTAAGTCTTAGGAGAAAGGTTAAGCACATGGATGCTTAGAACAGCTCAAACAGCAATACACTGGTCCGTTTTGGAGACACACTTCTCAGAGGGGACAAATGGGCCTCCTCTGTTCTATCAGGACATTTATCATATCATTTTCTGTAAACTGATACTGCTTGTTCCACAGAAATACTAGATAATTAGATGTGTGCACATGGCAGGGCATAAGGACAGAAGACTCTCCTCTTTGTTACATATTGTGCTTAACCCAGGAGAGCCTCTAGCATGGGGTTCTTCAATCTATCATTAAACCCATGTTTCGTGTCTGTCTGTTAAACACATTACACAACTTGGACAGCAAGGGAGGAAGAGCATAAGCAGCAGCTGTTAGCTGGGACAAAAGGAACTCTCTGCAGGTATCTCACTGCTTTATGGCAGAATGGGGCAGGATTCAGCAGTGTCCTAGAGTAACCCAGCAAAATGGGCCCCACCATTTCCTTCTCCTGCTCACCAAAATCCTGGAGTCCTCACCCCACCTTTGCTCTCCTGGCTGGTTTTGTGGTGAGGACCCAGCACAGAAACTGGTCTTTAACTGCTGGACAAATGTTTGTAGTTCAAAGTTAGTCACACCTATGCTTAGGGATACTGGTTTATTCTACAGGTTGCCAGACAGAGGAGATCCGAGGCTGATCAGTGCCAGTGCAGTAAAACCACACTATCATCTGAACAAACACTTAATGATGAAATCCACAGCACCCAGTTTTAACAAATTACCACCAAGTCTGCCAGTTCTCCACTGGAAGAAAATTAAGAATGAGCACTCCAGACTTTGTTAACTATGGTTGCGAAGCTAGCTGTGAATTATGTAAACTAAATACATCTACAGCAAGAGTACATGAGAGCAAAACCAGCAAACCAGCAGCCTTCAGTTCAAAGAGCCTGTCTGTGGAATACCTTCTTTAAATATGCTCCATGATCCCTCTGTTCTGGCCTCAAGACTCAGCGCAAAACCTTTTTTGCATACTTTGAGGACCATGCTTCCTTATCTTTTTTCCACACGCCATGTGTAGGCACTAGAAGGATTTTAAGTTAGGTAGGGAGATTTTTTTGTTCCAAGTTTTGTTAAGCTTAACTGCTTTGACCCTGATTAAATGCTATTATATCCTAACCACCTAGAAGTTGAAAAATAATACCATAGAATTAACATTTAGTAAATACCACTATAATGCTTGTGACCTCAAGAAAAAAAAAATTCTAAAACGTTCTAGTATAAATACTTGACCAGAACACCTACCGTTTTGTAAAGCTGTGCTTTCAGGCGGTATGAGTTGTATTCAATTTTTCTCTTCTCTTCGTCTCGCTTCTTCTGCACCTCTGGCAGCTGCTCATAGATCCTTAAGTGTAAATACAAAGAGTCAAAAATAGTGACTTGGAAGGAAGGAACTTACCGATATAAAAAAACATCCTCTGTTTCATGTCCACATTCTGTTAAAGGCTACTGGCCAACTACATCATAGAAAAATTTATTTGTGGGTTTACTAGTGTCACACAGGCAAAATGTGGAATACATAGCAGCTGCGATACTGGAAATCCCCACATCCCATAATGCCTCTCTCTTACAAGCAGCACCTCCTAAAAGCAACATTTATAACATTAAAATGACCATAGAGCTGCTATGATTACCCAGCTGCAAAAGGTAGAGCTTCAACATCTTCAGTACAGAATAGCCCCACTGCTTTTCTGTACTGGTTATGCTGATTCTGGTAACATGTTTATGCATCTATAGCAATATCTTTATCACAAGAATAACCTGACTTAAGCTATTTAGGCATCTCTTCAAAATTTCAGTATTTTCACCATTCAACAATGCTGCCCTGTTTAGGTGAATGCTTTGTCTTCTCCAGTGCTGAACTTCTTCCATACCAGAACCAAACAGCAAGGGATGCTTTGAACTGAATAGGTGGTGACTGGTGCTCAGTACAGAGTCAGGGTGCTATTCTGGTCTGTTTTACATGCTACCAACTAAAGGAGGGACCCGACACCCAGGATGGCAGTGTATTGCTCACACTGCCTTCCCCAAATCTTCTTTTAAGATCATAAAGCTTTACTAATTTCATGACAATATGCACCTTCAAAAACATTGTGGTTTATGGGAGCTGGAAATGAACGATGTTCAAAAAATTCAGTCCTGTAATACTTAAAGCAAGAGAGATCTTACTACAACTCCTTTCTTAACATGCTGATTTGATAATCAGCAAACAGGAAAAAGAAAAAAAAAGACTTGGTACAGACACAATAGTGCATTATACTCTTTTAGAGACTGTTTCATTCCTATGTCAGTATCATATCTTTGCATAATTACTGTTGGCACTTCAAATATTTTTAAGCATATCTATGCCTTCAACTTGTATTATCTGAAAGTACTTTAGCACACTCTATTTTGAACATTGCAAATCAATACAGCCCACCAGCCGGGGGGGGGCATCTTCAACAGTTGTCTTGGTACTAATTCCAGCAAGAAAATAAGTAATACTTCACAGAATCACAGAATGGTTAGGGTTGGAAGGGACCTCTGGAGATCATCTAGTCCAACCCCCCTGCCAGAGCAGGGTCACCTACAGCAGGTTGCACAGGACAGTGTCCAGGTGGGTTTTGAATGTCTCCAGAGTGGGACCCGCCACCACCTCTCTGGGCAGCCTGTTCCAGTGCTCCACTACCCTCAAAGTAAAGAAGGTCCTTCTCATGTTAAGATGGAACTTCCTATGTTCAAGTTTATGCCCATTACCCCTCGTCCTATCACTGGGCGCCACTGAAAAAAGACTGCTCCCATCAATACTGGCAAGAGAAGTGCCCATTCATACTGGCAAGAGAAGTAAGTGAGGCAAATGCATACCAGTTTGCACCATTTTGCTATTTAGTACAAGTTAGGTATCACTTGCGTGTTTCAAAGGAGAGAAGGACAGGAAGTTAGCTGGAAAACAAAGTAATAGGAAGCTGTATGATAAAGCATAAGTAAGTAGACAGAATCAAGAAAGCAAGGATCAAATCCAAATCTCAGTATTGAATTTCACCTCCTGTCTAATTCACCAGCATCAGCTAGGGAAAGCCATACACATCTGTAGCTTCTACAGTCCCCCACACAAGTGTGTTTACCAGTCTATCAGACTTCACAGTGAAATTGATGAGCAAGCAAGTACACATCTAACACCAAAAAAAGAAGGGAAAAAAAAAAAGCAACTGCATTTATTCCAGTGACCTACCTTCCTGTGTATCCCTATTTTCATGCTTGGTCTGCAGCTGCTCTTAGGTGATCAACTTTTCTAAAAATGTCACTACCCACATTACTGCTACAGAAAAGAGGAAATAAATCACATTTTGATGTTTCATAGAATCATAGAATGGTTTAGGCTGGAAAGGACCTTGAAGATCATCAAGTTCCAACCCCCCTGCCATAGGCAGGGACACCTCCCACTAGACCAGGTTGCCCAAGGCCACCTCCAGCCTGGCCTTGAACACCTCCAGGGGTGGGGCCTCAACAACCTCTCTGGGCAACCTCTGCCAGTGCCTTACCACCCTCACAGTGAAAAACTTCTTCCTAATGTTTAATCTAAACCTGCCCGCTTCCAGTTTATGGCCATTACCCCTCGTCCTATCACTACGTGCCCTAGTAAAAGTCCTTCCCCAGCTCTCCTGTAGGCCCCCTTTAGCTACTGGAAGGCCGCAATAAGATCTCCCCGGAGCCTTCTCTTCTCCAGGCTGAACAGCCCCAACTCTCTCAGCCTCTCCTCATAGGAGAGGTGCTCCAGCCCTCGGATCATCCTCGTGGCTCTCCTCTGGACACGCTCCAGCAGATCCGCGTCCTTCTTATGTTGGGGACTCCAGAGCTGGATGCAGTACTGCAGGTGGGGTCTCATGAGAGTGGAGTAGCGGGTCAGAATCACTTCCTTTGACCTGCTGGCCACACTTCTTTTGATGCAGCCCAGGATCCGTTTGGCCTTCTGGGCTGTGATTGCACATTGCTGGCTCGTAAGTAAAATAAAAATTGTTTATTTTACTCCTCTCGCGCTTTGCTGGAAGGCAGCAGAGGATGGTAGGTCCATGCATGTGTTACTGGATGCAGGGAGAGATACCTCCAAGGTTTGAGGTTTTGCTTTGCTACCATCTCACAGCTCTCTAAAAGATTTCACCATTCCAGGGCTCCCCCCAACGAAAGATCAAGATTTACCCCTCGCAAATCATCCCACCATAAAGATGTTTAGATCATGAAGTGGGCAATCCAGAATTGCAGGTAAATTCATTGAAAATTGTTTTCATTACCTCTAGCTAATTTGCCATGAGAAATTCCATTTACATCCTCACAGAGAAAAAGAAAAATATTCTGCACTCATTATAGGTGTGGATTTCAAAAGAATGGTACAGAATAAATTACTTCTTCGCTCCAACTGAGAGCTGGAGTATGACAGCAGCAAGAATAAAAAAAAGTCACCAAGTGTGACTGCCTGAATCAGTCTCCATAGAAGTCCTGCTGACTTTGGTTATTATGAAATCCATTTCTGAAAACAGATGTGTTCAGATACATTGATCTCACAGTCCAAGAAACCCAAACCTGAATCCTTCTACTTCAGCTAAAACATGCAGAAATGCATTCCCTGGGGAACTGGCATATTTACCACTTCTGCCACCTCTCTATTAACATCCCAAAGATACTTTTAAATGCCAAAGGCTATTGAAATAAAACATTCTTTTCGGACTCTCCCAGCATATATATCAGGGGGTTTATTTTATACATTGCATATTCCATTAAATATTTTGTGGAATCACAGTGTGACTTAGGCTGACAAGGACCTCTGGAGGTCACCTAGTCCAACTTTCTACTCAAAGCAGAGCTAATTTCAAGGCTAGATAAGGTTGCTGAGGTCTCATCCTGTCAACTTGCGACTATTTCCAAGGAAGGAGATTTGACCAACTTTGTGGGTCCTGGTCCAGCCCTGCACCATCCTCTTCATAAAACACTGATTGCCTCGTCTCCAGATAGAATTCTCCTTACTGTAACATCACCACTGCTGCTTGTCCTGAACACTGCACACCTCCAAGAAGAGTCTTCCTCTGCCTTCTCTCAACCCTCTTTCTGGCAGGGCCAGGCCAAACAAACCCAGCCTCCGCAGCTTCTCCTCATGCACCATGTGCTCCAGCCCCCTGACTGTCTTGGTGGCCTCCACCAGATGCAGGCCACTTTGTTGACCTCTCTTTTCATACTGGCAGCCCGGAACAGGAGACAGGTTCCAACTGTGGCCCCATGAGTGCCAAGCAGAGGGAATATCCACTTCGCTCCACCTGCAGGAAGAGCAGCATGTAGGCTGGCCTTCATCCCTGCAAGAGCACACTGCCAGCTCATCTTCAGTCTGCTGTTCACCAGCTGTCAGGCCCCCAGGGCCCTTTCCAGAAGGGTCACTCCACAAGCAATCTGTCCTCAGATGCTGCCAAGGTGGGTGTCCTTAGGGAAGGGGTGCAGGGAGGGGGCAAGTTCTGTCCCAAGGAGAGATTTTGTATTTGTCGTAGTTGAATTTCATGAGATTCCTCTTGGCCCTTTCCCCAGCCTGCAGAGATCTCTCCAGCATACTGACTGGTCCTCCCAGTTTTGTGTCACATGCAAACCTGTTGAGGCACGCTCCATCCCATTGCTACTACCAATTAAGACACTGGGAAACAGTCCTGGCCCATAGCATTGTACCTTTCACACAGCACAAACCCTTCCCTCCACATAGCATGTGCATTCCAAAACTTCAATGCAACACAGCACTTACATATATGCTGAAATCCCAACTACTTAAATATCCCTTGCCTCAGAGTATACTCTTGACCTTTGTTTTGTTTTGACTCTGAAATAACTTATAGTACCAGTGTATTTTTATGTAACTTTATAAGTTATCAGAGACTACTTCATGAGTCTCTAATTTACTTTTAAGTACTTATGCTGTTTCTCAACTGGTACTCTTCCAAACCACCTCTTCTTGACCTGACTACCATTTCAGAACACAGCTGCAACAGACTCCATTTTTTATTACATCTTCACACGCTCTCTCTGTAGTACAGGTATTTCAAATGTTTACTACACTGCTACTGTGCACTTCATATATGAATTACTTGAGTCAAAAATAAGGCAAAAATCTATCATAAGGTGATCTTCAAGGGTAAAAGCCTCTGTATTCCTTTGAGGGTAGTTATTTCTTACATAAAGCTACTTTCATTTGGTGAAACGATGCCTCACTTCCTGTACCTATTAGCTAGTTTGTTAATGTTTAAAACTATACAGACGCTCCAGTGGCCCACACCCTAAATTTCCAATCCTTTGGGGATCCAGTGCTTGCACAGTTTGCTGTAGTGCTTGGATGGCAGATATTGCAGCAGAATACTCAGGTTAAGTTACAGAAATCATTTTTTGAAAATGATCTTGTTTCTCAGCATTTCTAAATAGATGCTTTCTTGCTCTGATAAGATGCCTACATCTTGCACTGAAAAGCTGAGTTATCCCCAACACCCAGTTCTTTGACTGCAGATACAATTCATCCATCTTTCCTACCCCTTTACTCAGGTCACTTATCTACCTGAAAATTTTGTTAACCTTACCGTTTAGATCTCTGAATCATTTCCCTCTTTGGAATTGTTCTTCTCTTTTCTCTAATCAGAAAACCTAAATGGAAAATTTTGAGATAAGACAATGGTGAACAAGTCTACTTCTCACAAAGAATACTACTGCAACAATATGACTCCTTTGTAAGTTATGGATTCTTATAGACAATAATGTTAAATAATTGCAATACTTTTATTGAAAATACATACATCTTTATGTATAATGTGGATATTCATTAATTCCTATAGAACATAAAGAGCAGAACCATGAAGGTACCTCTGTCAGACAGCATGTGACTTGCATTCCTGTAGCCCTTTCTCTTCTCCGGAGGATTAAATAGCTCTTCTCGTTCAGACTGCAGTACGTTCTGTATCCTCCTTTCCTCCATTACAAGCTTGAGATGCTTCACACGCTCTCTAGAGCGGGAAATGAAATCAGGGCGATGCGCTGCAAGGGCCTCCTAAGATGGGATGACACAAAACAAAGTTTGAAGTGGCCAGACTGTCTCCCTACAGCTGGAAGAGAATAATTAAAATATCTAACACCATTACCAAAGCATGGGGAAAATAAAAAATCTCAAAGGAGTATTTGATATAACATAGAAAATGTTGTATCCTTAATGCTGGGTAGATCCTCAGAGATCTTGTTTAACAAGCTATATGTCAGTAAACAAGAAAACTAACTGGTCAGAAAGAAAAAGAAAAAGCTAAAATAATTAGCAAAAGGGATACAAATCTCTTCTCAAAAAAGCATAGCAAAGTTCAGAAAGTTGAGCCCATAGAACATTCTGTAACTTATTCCCTTGCTATAAATCAGTGGGCACATCAACATTAGCAATTCATTTTGGATCAGAAGGGGAATTTTAAAAGTGATCTCCTAATACCTCTGTTTGCCACACTGCAATTGCCATCACAGAGCAGTCTCTGAGAACGTGAGCAGATGCAACCGAACTTAAAGAAACTTCTGAAGCGCACCTAAATTAGCACTTCCTAATTTAGATTTCACTTACTGTTGACAAACTTCTTCAAAAATATTTCTGTATGCTTCAACTGTATTTTTCCACAGATATTGAGTGATTGCATCTGATCTGAAGTGTACACCATATATGCATGTGTATGTATGTACATAAACACACATACACTGTTTGCACTGTATGAATTATAGCCCATTTTAATCACATACTGTGTACACCACACGTATTATTTCTGCATGGAAGCAAGTATGAGTTGACATTATGTCAGCTACGTTCCCTCTAGTTCCTGAAGAAAAATGATTTAAGACCTAAAATATTAGATCAATTGAAACAGGTTAGCATATTGTGGAAAGCTAAATTAACATAACCAAAAAGGCTAATTTTTTTTCTATTTCTTTATTAAGCAGGAGTGATCTGTAACATGTTGACTTCCACTGATTATAAAGGTGAAATAACAAAAAGAAAAAAAAAGGAACAAAATGTGTTTCCACAAGATTCAGCATTACTCCTGAAACCCTACTGAGATCCCAGTAGCCTCATAGCACAGAGTCCCTTTACCTGTAGCGTAAGCTTCACAAGAGGTCGTGAGGACCTGTTCTCAGCATCTCTTTCTGGAACTGCTGGCTGAATCATGTTGATGCGCTGCTGCTCTGGCCAGTTCTTCTCTCGGAGAGGCTCTCTCCAAGGCCTTGTGCTGGTCAATGGTTCAAACCAAGAGGGACCAGGACCAGAAAAGGAATTGGAATGGTTTTCTTTCCTAGATTCAGGTTTCAAGTCTTCTGCTTGGACAAACCATGAAATTCCTGTTAAAAAAGACAACAGAAGAGAATCAGGATTTGTAGACAATACACGTGCCTATTTACCATCCCTATCTATGGCCCTTCATGCCCAAGGTCTTAGCTAAATACAGTCAGTGACCTAATACTGCGATAAATACTCATTTCAGTTTAGTAACAGTGGGACTTCAGTTTAGTAACAGTGGGACTCCATAGCAGACACCTTTGGCAGTTTCAAAAGAACTCCTTCGCCAAGTGTCAGAAAACCAGAAAGTTTTTAATCAAACGACACTTTTGAAAAGGCGCAAAACGGCTTAGTTTGCAAGTTTCTCTCTTTATAGAAAGAATAGTTACTTATCAGTAATTATACATTTTTAAGAAGCCTCTGGGCTGTCCTAAGCCCCATGTTTTTTTATAGATGTTTTTGAAGACCAAATGCTTTACATCTTCTAAATTTTAAACATGTATACAAGAATTAGATTACTCACAGTTTACATACATAATGGGGTTTGAATACATCAGCTACTACTCTCAAGAGATATTCTAAATTCTCTAAATTAAACCGGTATGAGAGAGAATGATTTGTCCCTACAACAACGATGACTAAGGAAAACATTTTTAAACATTTGATCATGACATTGCGAAGACTGACAGGAAATTTGGAAAAAAAAAAGCCCCAAAATGACAAAAAACAAACCACCAGCTGGGAGGCTACACCATCAGCCCAAATATGCAACTCTAGCTAAAAGAGGGAGACGAGTCTAGTTCTTCTGGTAGCACAATCTTCCCTCAAGTACTCCCAGAAAAATTCTTGTTCTTTGAAGCCTCAGTACATGAAACAGTAAATACAACTTACAGTGACTCAGAGCTTAGCAGAACCTTTTGTACCTTGAAAATCAAAATTAAGTATCTACATGATTCCCATCTCATTCACCTTTCCTTGCATTATTCACTGCTTCCTATTTACTACCTTTACTGGCCAGGTTTCCTCTAACAGCTTAAATGACAATGCCATCATAATAGAGCACTAGAGAGCTCACTTGACATAGTGTTTGTGTTTAAAATTTATTGATTAAAAACAGAATAAGAACTGACTGTACTAGTGACAGCCTACTCTGTGTCCTAGCTAATCCTCCTCACGTTTTGCTAGTTGCTGTTGAGATGTATAGCTTTTCTGGTCTGCAGAGAAAGTGTATTTTGGACTGACCTTGTGGCAAATGCAGCCTGTTCCTTTTCGTCCTTTTCTCCACGAAAAAATTGCCTGGCTGTCCCTTCTGCTTACCCTTGCTTCCTGCTGCCTGATGATCTGTGACCATACCATCTGACTCTCCAAAAATACCCTTAACACAATGCCAGGGTTCCTGTGGCTCTTGATTTGGCTGGCTAGATCTTGGGGTAGGAAAAGTCACGCCAACATCTCGAGTGTTTTTCTTAGTTGCACTGTTCACAATCTCCAAGTCTCCTGTAGTTGAAAAAAAAGCAGTAACATCTTATTCTAGAGAAGCTGGAAGTACTTCAACATCAGCATGTATGACACGCATAGTTCAGGGGGTGACCCTCAATTTTTACTTTGAAGCTGAAGGACCACTTTCTTTATCCTACCTTCCAAAGGGAAAGTCTTTTATATTCCCACTTCCAATTCAAGGAGAGTTTACAGTGACTCAGGATTGTTACTATATATGATAATCTGAGTAAAATTGATGTGGTGTAAACCAAGCACCCTAAGCAAAACAAGCACATATATATGGGGGGTGGGAATTAAACCCGCTATGCTTCTTGCTGGGGACCTGAGCTGGCTCTCTGAAGCATCAACTTCAAATCTGTTGCTGAAAGACACAATGACAGGTCAACATAAAGCTTTACCTTTTAGACAATGGAACTACATTTTTTTTCTGGACCTGTTTACACAGTGCGTCCCATCCAAAACTATGTTTTAGCTACAGAAGATTGGTTTGCCCACAGCACTACAAATATTTAACAGAAACACCACCACAAATATTTAACAGAAACATATAAAGCGGAAGGTGTCAACTAACATTCAAAAAGTCATAACACAATCTTGAAAACAAGCCATGAAAATACTTTTCTGATTCAATCCACTTGCACATGAAAAAAAAAAAAGTAATAAATAAATAATTGATATGTCTGATGAATAAAACAAAGCCATGACTCAATCTTATGATGGTGTGTAAACTTAGCCTGGTGTGTAAATGAAAGCAATGAAGAAACTGTTAATTGCCCCCACAAAAACCCAAGTGCAGAACTGCACCAGTCCAAGGATAAGCTTATGTTTTAAATAGAATATAACATCCAAAATATTACCAAGAAGAACATGAAACACTGCAGTTGCCTTCTGAAATAGCATATACCTACGAAATGTATTCTGTGAGTAACACGTCTTGCAGAGAAAACAATATATAAAAAAATAGTCCACCTTTACTATTGAAATGGATCAGAAGCTTAGGTCAATAAACTTGTAAGTGACAAAACTGGCTACTACTCAAGCAGACCAAGAAAGGAAATGAAATGGCTCATTTTAATTAGAACATAACATCTTTCTCTAAAAGCATTTGAAGTGAATTTGAAGAATGCTGCGTGTACACATCCAGCACCAGAAACATGCAACAGACTTGGGACACCAGTTTCCAAAGAGGCAGATGGAAATAGAGAAAAGACAAGTCTGGAATTCAACAACTCACCTGCTTGGATACCTTTGTTTAGCATCCGTGTCCGTCGCTTGTTACTAAGAGCAGAGCTTGGCCCCCAAGAACTGCTGCTTGCAGAAGTTGAATCCAATGAAAGGGAGATTGCCTTCTAGGAAAAAAAACCCAAGCAAGAGAACAGAAACTCCTGTAACACTAACCAAAATTAACAAAAAGCAGGTTCTAAACAGCAAAAAAAGTTATAGCCATCACTCTTTACTTGTTGTACCTTGATTCTATTGTTATTTAGGCGTTTATCATAGGCTGATCAGTGTCTCTTATTGCTATGCCACACAGTCAGCCTTGACTTTACCCTCATGCACCAATGCGCTTTCTGCACCCCATTCTAGTAAGAAGAGTGCATGGTTTCTGTAGGCAAGAGTGTGCCTGTGATCAGATACTGTACAGTGCTGAGCATCCTCCAATTTGTTTGTCCAAAGTTCATGAGACAATGTGGCCTGTCGAGACAGACTTATAAAAACCCTTTGCTGTGGCAAGATCATTTGTTAGCTCTACTTTCATGAAAGACTGCAAAGTGTGAAATGTTTCTGCTTTGGAAAGAGGGAGAATAAATATCTAAACTGAATCCTGTATTCCTACACTCTCAACCCAAAAGCCTTTAAAGGTTGCTGGGTTTGCTGGAAGGACAAACCATCTTGAAAGATTAACACATTGCTTTGTAAATTCACTTTGAAGTCCAGTTCTGTACCATTGGCATGGAAGAGCAAAGTCCTTTCAAATCATGGGAAGTCCTCTCACCCTGTGATCATTATTACACAAGGTCTCCAGGCAGAGAGAACTAAACTCAATGAAAACAAGAAAAAGGAAACGCATGGGAAGATCATGGCTTAGGGAAAACATTAGTTTCCCATCTCCACCATTTATGCAAACTGAAGTTCCAGCTGCAGAGATGTAAGCAGCACAATTTTGTTATAATAAATTAATCTAAATTTTATGATGTCATTACTTTACAGCCATTTCAAAAGGAATATAGTCTGTAAGTGTAATCCATCTAGTCCACAAACTTTTTGGTTATGTAAAATACAAAGAAGGTTAGTGCTTTATTAACAGCAATTAACTGACAATGCTTCCCCAGGCTTCAAATCCAACACTGCGGCACAGACCAATCTCTGCAACTCCACTGAATTTAATTTTTAATTATGAAACAGATTATTTTTTTCCTTGATCATAGCAATTAGTATCCTATTAGTAACTCATAACGCCAGCCACAATGGAAATGAACAGAGGCTTTTTTATTACCTTTTTATCAAACCTCTGCTGTCACCACTTCAATGCAAAACATAATTTCATTTCAACATTAAAAGGAGGTAATTTTTACTCTCATGCATGCTGGCAAGAACTGTTTTTTAGTTTCATGAAGCTATTTCAACTCTAGTAGAGTGCACTAGACAGATGTAGTAGATACGTATCTTCTTTCAGAGAACAGAAGCAAATTTGAATATGTGCTCAGCAAAAGGGAAGATAGTATAAAGTAAGGAAAAAAAAACCAAGATAACCCATTTACATGCACATGCATATCAGCCCACAGAAATAAATATAAGCAGCCATTCAATACTGAATATTGACATGCATATTCCTATTTGGACTAGAATATTCAGTGCAGTGCTTTCAAAGCCCTTCAGCAGCTGAATAGCGCAACCTTTAGCTTTGTACCTGCTACCAGATGGCAGCTTGAAGAGTGCTTTAGAAATAACAGAAACTGGAATAGATAAAAGCCTTCTGGGATGGGTTCAGCATCTATAAATAAAAAAAGCTGTAACCAAGTTTTCTGGAAGCACAGCTGACAATAGGCTGTCATAAAAAAAAATGAGCTACAAAATGCCGCACTTGCCTGAAAGATTTGTAGAGTAGTCTCTCTAGGAGTAGGGCTCCTGCTATAAATTAATATCTGTCTCTGCACCACAGATATTTGCAACTAAAAAAAACCAAACCACCTCTTGATTTCTGTTCTGCCAAGCATCACAGAAATTACCAAAATTTGGATTTTAAAATTGTTTGCCATTTTGCCATCAGTTTTCTCTCACAACTTATTTGAGGCAGGTAATATGTCTTTATGTATTTTTAAAAAGAACCCTACATCAGCAGATAAAAGATGCTATTTTCTAAAGCCATATGAGTTCAATGCAACATCAAGCACCGGGAACAGCACGCCTTTACTCTGTTACAAGTATTACTGCAATCAGTTATCTAATGGGTGATTTTAACAGGCAAAAGATTAGATGTTGTTTTTAACATCCAAATAGACATTGAAAGGAACATGGAATAAAATAATCTTCTAAATACTACAACCATGCAAGAAATGTTGGATCCTAATTTCATTTTAGAAAAGAATTAATATTAATGGTCCTAATGTTGCAAAGCTTATGACAATTTTATTTTATCTTTAAATAAATATTATTAATAAAAATCTTTTTCAAACCATTCTTATTCCTGGAAAGGCAGAGGACTTGTTTGAGCTAATCGGACCAAAGACAGAAGTCTACCCATATAAACAATGCTGTCTGGGAATTTTTAAATTATTCTCCAAATAACAAACTCTACTACTGTGCAGCAGTTTAGGAGTTCCTATAAAGACGAATTAAAATTGTCTTTTGGTCTAACTGACCACATACCTGGATCTCTTTCCTTTTCTTGTGTCTCTCAGAAGTAACCTTTGGATATTCTACACCCACTGCTTTGCCACTTCCCTTGTTCCACTTTTCAGAGCGACTTTTCTGATGGTTGATGGTACAATAAAGCTGGGACAGTCTTGGTGACACCCGCACTCTTTCATGCCCAAAAGCCCTGATCAGCCTGGCAGTGTCAACGGTGGAAATGGAACTGCTCACCTCAGTCTGAGTAGCAGTTTCCATCTCTGTTTGAGTCACTGCATCTGATTCTGAGGTAGTGGAACTGATCGTGGTGCCATGATCTCCACTAAGCCTTGTCTCTGAGGAAGTGTCACTAGGGGTTTCCAAGTACTGCTGGTGCTCCAAAATTTTATTCATGTGGCAAATAATTTTCTCTCCTGACCTACTTTTCCTGAGCTCAACAAAGCTATTTTTATCATGGGTGATACGTGGTCTTTCTTCAACATGTGTTGCATTAGGCTCTAAGGTACTTTCAGACATGGTCTTTTCTGACAGTCTTATTTTCTTCTGCTCTCTTCTCTTTATTTCCCTTTTAGAAACATTCTTTTCAGATTTTGTTGGTATTAGCGTATGCTTAATGGGATTCTGAAGGACCCTGGCCAATCGATCAAGGCGTTCAACAAGGGACAGCTCACCGTTACTCTTAAAATCATGATGCTGATGTCTCTTCTGGCACTCCAAAAACTTAATCCAGAGTTCATCTAAGCTACCACTGGAATGGGTTCTGTGTCTCGGTGGTAGGTCTTTCTCCACAGTCTCATTGAGGCGAGCTGTTTGGCTACACAGCAAAGGATAATTTCTAGCTGCCTTTTGTTCTGCTTCTTTTCTGCCTTGTTGATATAGGTCCTTCCCTGAGGTTTTATTCCCCAAAGATGTGCTAACATTTAGATCCTCATTCTTGCTGTTATCTGCTTCTGCAGTGAGTGGAAAGAATTCATTTTCACCATCTTTTTTAGGACAAAGAGAGAAAACACGTTGATGACGATGTACTTTTTCCCGATTCTGCAAGACAGCCCTGGAGGAAGGTCTAGCATGTCCAACACCAGAACTGTCTTCTGACAGCTCGCTGTTAGACAGGAAGTAGCTCTCACACACAGGCATTGGATGATGAAGGTAGAACTGTGCAGATTTGAAGAGCGAATGAGAATTCAAATGATCTGTGCGTTCTAGAAGAGAAGAAAACATTTTACATTTTTGTTTCTTTACAGGGAAGCAAGTAGCAAACAGCAAATCTTAAACAGAATGATTTTCATCCCAAACTTTCCAATCACTTCAGACGATTCATTGTAGGAATCATTGTACCCATTCCCGAAATGCAACAAACTTAATAATGCTGAAACTTTTTCTAAAAGTACATAAATAATATTTTCTATCATTTGCAACAAGGAATCTAAGATAATCTTATATCCAACTAAATGTGAAGGAGGAATCTAAATATGCCACAGGTAATTAGGGTCCAGACCAAAATTTGGACTGAGTCTTTATTTATATTTATGGAAACTCATCACAAGCAGTCGCAACTTGTTTTGCCTCTTTTCAGACAAATGCCCAGGGAGTACAAATGTCCCCTAAGGCTATGTCTGAGCATTATCTCTTAACTAACTCAGAACAGCCCTATATGTAAGACAACCAATACCACTTCCTGTACAGCTCCTAGAACCACCTCTGATAGCATACCAAGATCTAACCCTGTTTTGCTTTCAAGCTCAGGTGACACATTTTAGTTCAAAGCAGCAGTGAAATCCCCCCAGAACATGTTACTATCTGAAATTACAAAGGACTATACGCAGAAATCCAATTATAAACTCATTTGTAATAGATATACATTAAGAATGCTTGCAGCATGTGCTAACAGAAATATATTCCAAAATAATTTTAAAGTCATTTGTAATATACTGCAAAAAAAAAAAATCAAATTTTAAGAAGTAAAAATGTGTTTCATGTTATGTTCTTTATATAACAGACTGAATTATATAATGAACCATGAAGGCAGAAAGTAGGAATTATAGATACTAGTGCCAGAAGGATTTCCCAGGTCCCCATTCTTACTGCAAGATACTCCATGCCATTTTAGCCATCTACGTTATTTAAAGATGAATTATAGATTAGTAATAGCTTTAATATAAATAAAAAAGTTAATACAAAAAAAGAATAGTCCATTTAGTATTCTAACATCAGTTACTAGGTAATGGGAAGCTGTCAGCAAATGCGTATCAAGCTCCGTTAATAGCTGGAGTCACACTCATACTTGTTTTTCTCTAGCTCTCCAACATTCCTCCCAAGTTTGGGGTTTTTTTGCTTGTATTTTTGTTTTGTTTCAAACAGTCTTGTGTCTGTGATTGTGATCTACTGATGAAAATAGAACTTCCTTTTTTCATTTGAGCAAGCTTTGCCACTGATTCAGCAAAAGGGTGGCAAGTCACACAGCCAAGCCTCTCCCTACCCCAGGAGGAAAATACTTTCCCACCTCATCAAGAATCACAAGTTGTTTTTACAAAACCTCAATTCCACGTGGGAAAAAGTGATGCAAGCTAAGCTCAGGAAGGGTTACAATTGCGTGAATTCATACTGTTAAAACTGCCTCATAAACCTTACTTTTATTTAGTCACTTGTTTTCCTTATATTTTATACATCTCTTCCTTTCCCAACACAGAGACACTTCCAGTGTAATGTCAAGGTCATGACTCATACAACCAGATCCAGTCTTGCTTACTCTGAAATTGGAGGAATTTGTCTTTCCATACAAGGTCAGTGTTTATATACTCATGTAAGAGGATTCCTCCACATCCTCCCGACAAACGAGATCAGGCTTGGGAATGCTATGCAGAATTTTTGCTATTTCTGTATTTTTAAAAAGTTACCAACAAAAAGGAAGGAATGCAAACAGGCAAAACATAAAAATAAGTTTATAGAGAGAAACTTTTTTTAAAAAAATACGTAACTTGCATAATTTTAAGCTCTAGACAACCTTTGTGGGTAGACGTAATCTTTTATTAGAGCATCTAAAAATATAGTTGAAGAAGTCAGAGAAGATTTTAGACATGCAAGTCCTTCTTCAGAAAGCTTGCTTAAATTTCCAACTGTACTGGATGGTTTAACAAAAGTTTATTACTACTGACAGTTCTTTTCTTGCCTGTGTCTTTAGACCATCACAGCTACAGAAAAATACTATTAGATAATTTTATATTAACACTTGTGTTCCCCTTTCATTTTTATCCAGGCTATTCAGAGAAACAGGTATCCATTGATCTCTGCTGCAACATACTTTGTTACTGCAGATTCTTGTTCTGAGACCTTACTTCTATACACACACTATCTCTTTAGGACTCTTTCTTCAGCTCTACCACCATGATCCAGCATTCTTCTTTTGAGTTACCCACAGTGAATGAATGAAAACATTTTTCTATCTTACTCCACTCGTTTCCATATCCTTGCATTTTATAAATGCTCACAGAGAACTATTTCTTCCATTAGAAAAACTAGGTTAAGACAACATTGTCTTTACTGTTGCACTAATTCAACTATTGGTCCTATGTACGCTTATCAAAAAAGAAAATGAATATAAAATAACAAAGTTCAGTGTATCTTATGCAATCATTTTAAATTATCTCCTGGAAATAAAAATTGCCTAATGGAAATACCAAAATCTCTCCATTCTAAAGAGAAAAGTTTCACAGAAAACCCCTTCTAAACTGAAGAACTAAAATCATCACAAGGCATCCCTACCAATCCATCAGCACAGCTCTATGGGGTGACCTTACTCTGGGCATATTGAGCTGTCTGCTTAAAAAGGACAACAATAATCACACTGAGGTACTCCATAAAAATCTGTTTCATTAGTCTTCATATAACAAGTTTACGTGATAGTATGAAAAATAAATGGCTTCCCAAAACCCCTATATACATGACTGCCTAGAAGAGAGCAGGAACTCTCTAATTCAAAATCCATTACACTGTTGTTGTACATATGTTTCAGGTCCCATCTCTCATTAACAGCCACAATTATATTACCTCCTTGCAATTTGCTCACTCGTTGTGTAATAGAGCACATATTGCAAAATACCGTACCATGCAATAAACAGCTTCACTGAGGAATTAATAGCTGCATTTAGGAGAGATAGCAACCACTCAGCAATTTTCTGTTTACAGTTACTTCTGTCCAGGAACAAGACGCAATTCTCAAACACAACAAAAATCCTCATCCCTATTCAGACTCAAGGAAGTTTATCAGCTACTCAAAATCACAAAATGAGGTTCTGTACAAAAAGAGCATCTAATTTTAGCTACTGCCACGAGAAACAGCATCAAAATCATCAGTAAGCACAGCGTAATTGGATTTTGTCATCATTCTCAGCAAATAAAGCCTTAAAGTAGGTTACTATAGTATTAAACCCTGACCTTCATCCCTCAGAAGTACCATCCAAGGAGGTTAATGGAGGGGAGGAAGAAAGAGACATCAGTCAAATCAAATTAAAATTCAGTTAAATACCAAGATTACAGAGATACTTTACCTGACACCACAAGATACAAGTGTATTTGTGGGCAGGAACACAACCCCAACACAATATACAGAGCCATCCCACCAGCTTTTATTTACCAGGGAATTTCTGTCATTTTCTACATGGGCATCCTTTCTACACATAAAGGAGACTTGGCACTTCACAAACTTAACAGTGCCTTAAAAAAAAACAACCAAACAACCAAGCAACAAAAAACAACAAAACACCCCCCAAAAAAAGAAATCTTACGAGGGCTCTGATAAGCACTGAGGCCACTGGAATGCTAGCAAATACTAAGTATTTGGGCAGTCAAGGAGAAGTAGAAAGATGGGGAAGAGAAAAATTAGTCAAATTCATCATCTTCATGCAGACAATCAGCAATACCATGAGACCAGAAATTGTGGATCCTGAAACGTAACTCTTTTGCTCTACTTTCTTTCATGTGTATGAAAACACATGTAAAATGAAACACATTTAACTACCTGGGGAAGCTTCCACTGGTATCATTTGCTCCTCAGCCCAGGCTAGCTTGGGCTTGGCCCTCTTACTGTAGATTCCTTCTTTATGCTTGATAGCTGTATTGTCTGGAGCATTATCATCCTGTAAACCAAGCACGCTTGCTGGAAAGCTTGGAGGAAGAGCATCATTTGACCCTGCAGAGAAAAAGAGCAATAATTATGAGTAAAAAGAGGAAGCAGGCAAAATAAATACAGCAATTTCACAACAAAGAACGTCTGGAAGAAAGCCTATTATCCAAGTATTAGTACAAGTATATTCACCAACCAACAATCATGATCCCTAGTGAGCAGTTCTAGTGACTAACACAGCAACAGTAGGTATTGCGCCACATTGTTTTCC